CTCCGCTTCGACTCTTTATCTTTTTTTTGTTCCTGTTGTTTTTATTTAAACTGTTGGTTTTTTTTTTTTTTTGCACCTACACTGCACACCCATGCTATGGGTATGACCGTGACGCACTTTTGGAGTTTTGTGTGTTGCTGCCTTGCCATTGTGCCACCTTTCATTCAACCTTTATTTATACTGGTTAATTCCACTGAGCCTCTTACTATCATGGTTCAATTCTCGGCCCCTATCCAGACTTTGGCTCAGGCTGTCATGGCGGCCGTCTCCATGGTCCTCCACCTGCCTGCACTGACCAAACTACAGACCCGTTGGGCTCTGCGGGGAAACCTTGTATGTTCTTGAAGGTTTTCTGTCTGCTGGACCTGGTTCTAGGCGGCAGTCTGGGAGGACAGTCTGGGAGCGCAGCTGCTGTGGTCATTATTATCATCAAGCTGCTAATGGGACCTACTGACAAGACCTGCTAACGCTGCTAACAAGACCATGCCGCTAACAGAACCATGCTGCTGAAGAACCTCACTGCTAACCAAACCACACTGTAGATGTATTTCTTTTTCATGTTTTGTGCCTTGTTTTTTATTTGTGCTGCATGCTTTGGTATTTTCTTGTTGTTTTTTTGCCGAGTTGAGATGGTTCTTTTTGTCCTCAGAATTTTATTGTTGACCTTGTGTTGATTTTGCCTATAAATAAACCAAACCTGAACCATTGCTGCATCAACTTCCCCCTTATCATTTTCTTCTAGAAACTTATTTCCTTTCTCATCTGAACCACAACCTGGATTATTTAGAGCATTTTTTTTCAATCTCCACAATCCAACATTTTTCAGTCAGGTCATCTGGACAGTTTCTTTTTTGTGCTGAAACGTTTCGCCTTCGATCCGGAAGGCTTCATCAGTCAAGGAAACACACAACAAAACTGATTCTTCCTCCAACAGCTTACTCCAAAGTGGAACAAACCAGTTCTTCTTGTGATTAGATGGTCTTTTTGGTACGCCCCTCCTCCATTGCTGGCCCTCTTCCTAGTTGACAGTCTTGTCAAACTGGTTGAAAACAACAAAGTCCATGCTCAATAATCTAGGTATAAAATTCAACATTTGACTGATGAAGCCTTCCGGATCAAAGGCGAAACGTTTCAGCACTAAAAAAGAAACTGTCCAGATGACCTGACTGAAAAATGTTGGATTTTATACCTGGATTATTGAGCATGGACTATGTTGTTAATCTCCACAATGTTTTACGTGGATTCTCACTGATACGGACAACACAAAATGGTAAATGGATTGTGCTTACAGTATATAGCGCTTTTCTATCTTATTAAGATAAAAAAGCTCTTTACAACACAATCTGTGCCAGTGCTTTATCCTATTCATACACTAATGGGACACACATAGGAGGCAATGAGATGTTTTCAGTGTCTTGCCCAGGGACACTTCAGCATGTGACTGCTGTTGGAATCGAACTCCCAACTCTTGCATTGGAGGATGACTGCTCTTACCATTCAGCCACAGCTGCCCCTCAAGTTGTAACCCACAAGAAACCACAAAAAACAGATGCATGATCAGACAGGTCACTAGAGCCAATATTACAGAAACTTATTTTGGAGCAGTCTTTTTAAAACACAAAGAGGTAGTTTGTTCTAGAATAAGTATTGTGGGGGAACGAATAAAATGTGAAGTCATGTTTTATAGGATGGAAATTTCTCCAGTGATCTAGTATACCCAATTCCTCCATTAGATTGTTAATGTTCCTATATAACAATGTAGTTGTTAAATATTTGGATGCATCTAATTTAGGGTTGAGGTGTATTTTCCAATCACCTCCGCAGATTAGAAGTCTTGTTGCTCCTGCCATTAAATCAAACATCCATCCATCCATCCATCTTTACCCACTTCTTCCTTTTTGGGTCGTGGAGGTCACTGGTGCCCATTTCCAGCCATCACTGTGTGAGAGGCAGAGGACACCTTGTAAAAACCAAAACTACTTCCAGATGGGATATAAACATTACATATTGTTATTAAAATGTTTAAGAAGCAGGTAAAGGTACTGGATGAATGGATATTTATCTTTCCTGTAACCAGTATATATCTTCCTTCTTTATCGGATATCTTTGATATAAACTTAAAAGGTATCTTTTGTGATATTAATATTATAACTCCCCTCCTTTGACCAGATTTGTAAGGTGAATACAAAGCCCTTGTGTAAACCATTCTGCTCATTTTTTCATGTTCCATTAGAGAAAGATGTGTCACTTGTAGAAGGACGATCTGAGCATTTTCCACTTCATTTGTGATGCTATTTTACTTCTCTTAATTGGGTTTGAGATACCCTTTACATTAAGTGATACTATCTTAATGTCCTGTATATTCATACATTTCTAACCTGATAAAACCACAGAAAACCTCTCCCACAATATCCAGTTTCACCAACAAAATCTCCCCCATAACACTTGCATCAAACCATAATGAACAGTAAACAATATTAACATTATAATTATGAAAACAAAATAAGACTGGTGTTCCCAAGGTAGAGAGGCTCTTATGAAAAGAGCCCAGCAGGGTCTTGTGCAGTCCAGGTCCCAGTAGGGAATTGACCTACCACGTTGTAGAGGTGGGGCCCTAAATAATGTCCACACACTAGCAATATTTGATGATAAAAATAAAATTAAAATAAAAACTTAGACATGCTCACAATTCGGCTGTCCTGACTCAATTAGAGTAACTAAAAAGAAGCATGAACATTGTAATTAAGTTAACTGAAAATTTAAGTACCTCTGGTAAAACAACGGCAAAAAAAGAAACTTAACTGACTTTCCTTGAAGCATCAGTTCTCAGTTGTAGACCGTCTTCTGGTTCCCTGAAGATTTTCCTTGATCCGTGCTTGATGGCTTTTCTGCCTGTTATCACCTGTTGGACCAGGGTCTTGGTCATTGCTCCTCACATGTCGTCTTCTTGTCTTCTGTCATGAAGACAAGAACCGCATCACATCACCTCATGATCCGGGGCTGCTGCAGACGTTATGACGGTGACTGGAAACCCACGAGCAGCCATATCTCTTGTTGCGTCTGCTGTGTCCTGGTAGAGACGGGCACATTAGTTTAAAACACCCGCATCTTTGCTGAGTAGGGGGTCTGAAACCTGATGTGTTCACTTTTCAAAACTTTTTGGCATCCATATATTCATTACATTTTTTAAACGTCAGTGGGAAAAGTCATGGTCAACAAAAAACCGCATTTAATCGCAGAATACTTCTCTTTTCTGCCATGCTTTCCAAAGAACCTCCTCTTTTGTATGGTAACTGCCAAATTGCCACGATAGATCTGGACTTCCCCTGTGTGCTGACCAGCTTTTGAATCAGTTCTTGCTGTGTGCTTGTTCAATTCCCAGATCTCGGTTGTGAGGGAGGTCAAGCACTTTTGTAAAACAAGTTCAGAAAAAGAACAATGTCAGCTCTCTCCTTATCTTCAGGTATCCCATAAATCCGCAGATTCTCCCTATGGGCATGGCCTTCATGTTCTGTGAGCCTATCTTCCAGCTTAGCTTGGTGTTGGACTAGCCTCTTAATTAACATGGAAGCAGTATGTAGTACAGTCTCTGTTTCTTCTAATCTTCCTTCCACTTTGTCCAGTCTGTCATTCACACCTTTAATTTCTTGTTTATTGTCCTCCAGCTGGACGCTGTTCTCTTTTCTGAAGTCACGAAGTTCATTAAAAATACTCTGCAAGCTAGGCTCAGGTGTGTCACCGCCTCAAGGACTTAGCTCCAGGGAATAGCTTGGTCATCCTCTTTCCATCTTTGCAAATGTTCACTAGTAGGGGTGCACCCGATTTCCTTTATTTTGGGTGATCAGCGATACTTACACGAGAAACTGATTTTACCTATTTTGTTCTAGTTTTAACAACAATTGTCTAAACTTCATTTATATTCTGAAGTACCTCATGGCCAGTTAAAACAAGTTTGTATTGTTTCTATGATATTCTTCAAAATCATGTTTTTCAATAGAATAATTTTGGAAAATTGAAGGTGCATTGTGACCTTATAACACCTGACAGTGTCGCTTATAAAACAAAATTGGTATCGGCCAAAATCTGAATCAACCGGTCAGGCTTTTTAGAGATCATTGATCGACCAGAAAACTGCAATCAGTCCACCCCTATTCACGTGTTAACAAAAATAATGCCTTAGGGGGATTTTTTTATAGAACACCATCGGGAGCTCACTAATTAGGCTGCCGTCTTCTCGCTAGCAGAACTGGAAACTCATACGAGCTTACTTTTAAGAATGAAATATTTAATTACACCTAAATGTGACAGAAAAATTAATATTTGAACATACATCAGTAACGTAAGAACTAGGTGAACCAACAAATGTTAATACCTGGGGAAAAAAAAAATTATCCTAGGTGTAATTTTACCAACCTAATTTACACAAAGTGGGCAGAATTTAAAACTTGTACTAGAACCACCTAACAGGGAAGCTGGACCCTCTCAAGACTGAACTTCCAGTTCCACATCAGGTCTATTCATACAGTCTTTGGTATAAACATACCAAATGTAGAGGTGGGGTTATGAAGTAGAAGGGATGAAATAGTTTTTGGTCTAACTACATACCACTTTAGGACACCAGTGGTTACAAAATAGGAAGGAATGGTGTTACAATTCAAGCTGTGGTGGGCCAGTTTCTGATTACACATTACTGAAGTAATTGGACTAGTTTCTCATTACTGAGTTGACAATGGAAACAAAGCTCACACGGAATGGAGTGTAAGTTTGCACTTTTATTAATATCACTCACTTTTGTCTCGTTTCGTCTGTGGATTGTTGTTGCCAGTTTGAAATCCACTGTGTGGGACTTTGTAGTTGGTTGCTGTATATTTATATTTTTTAAAAGGAGCTGTGTCCACTCTTGCAGCCAGATCAGATGTGCAACGTTCTCCCTAAAATTTTGCATTGGGAGTTTTGTTTTACAATTTTTTCAAAAGGTAACTTTTTTCTTATTTGAACAGGCATCATGATTCCTGTAATGGAATTCCGGCAGTTCACTGAACAGCAGCCAGCATTCAGAGTCCTGAAGCCATGGTGGGACGTGTTCACTGACTACCTGTCAGTCATCATGCTCATGATTGGTGTCTTTGGATGCACCCTGCAGGTCAGTAACAATGTGCCACCGTGTTGTCTTTACCTAAATAGGGACCTATGAAATCTGCTTTTTTCCCCAAACTCTGCTTGTCCATTTTCATTTGTCTGAACTCCATGTTTTATGATGTACCCATATATTTTTTCACTTTAAATGTGTTGTATTGCCGTGTTATTTTGCATTATTGGTGTTTGCTGTATATCTTAGATCTTTTGGCGTGCTGTTTGGCGTTTGTTTGGTGTATATCTTAGATCTTTTGTTGTGCTGTTTGACGTTCGTTTGGCGTATATCTTAGTGTATAGTTTAGATCAGTGGTTCCCAACCTATTTTCCTCAAAGCCCCCTCTTCTTACTTCCTAGGCAATCCGAGTCCCACCAATCCCTCGCTACTCCCCTCTCCCAAAGACTCACTCAGATTAATCTCTTTATCAAAGTGATATTATTATATATATAATTTGATATTGAGATATGTCACAATATACTTTTATTCAATAACGGTGATATGAGTTTTAAGCACATTTTTGATATTTCGATAGGATTACAGCGTTTCACTGATGCATTTTTTTCTCTGTTTGGGCTGAAGCGGCCACTTCAACCCAGACAGAAAAAGGTGCAACACAACTACGTAAGGGCGTGGTGACGTAGCTGTTACGCAGAGCTCGAGTCCAGAAGGCATTCGCAGTAGCGGTCAAGGCTAATCTCCAATGCGTGTTAAATTTTCGCTTCAAAATGAGTGCCCATGACCGTCAGAATGTGATTGAACAAGCTTTCACAAGTGAAGAGAAAGCAGATGACATAATTGATAAGAGAGGAAAGACTAATTTGGCGGTGTGGAAGGGGTTTGGCTATCTAAGATCCGATAAACTGCAGGTTTCAGTGTGTTGCAAAATGTGCCGAAGAGTTGTTCCAACTAGCAGTGTGAACACATCTAACTTGTTTCAACTGAAGAGTTTCCACTCGACAGACTATGATGAGAGTCAGAAGATGAAGCACAATAAAACTGAGCCAATGTGTCCCTCAAACAACCCCCCCAGCTGTATCAAAAGAGAAACTCATGCAGCAAACATCTGCTGCATGGGTTATGTTATGTTGTTTAAAGTTAAAACTTTTACTATTGAAAAAGTTGAGAGATATATGTTTATTTGACGGTGATTTCAAAATTTCTTTGAAGGCTAAATACGAATAAAAGGTGAACATTAATTTATTTGTAGAGTTTTTCTGAGGCTTTTATATTGTTAATATCGATATTGGAATTATATCGTTATCGACCGAAATTATGAAATATATTGTGATAAAAGTTTTGGATATGTCGTCCAGCCCTAGTAAAAGGTATAAACTGGAAGTTGTACAACAGAAATAACAACTTCAAGAGCACTTGTTTTGAGAATTACTCAAATAACTTAAAAAAAAAAAAAAAAAACTAACAGAGTAATCTTTAAAAAAAAAAAAGTCTTAAAAAATTAAAATTGTAGTTTTTTCAAGATATCAAACTCTGGGCATGTACACACAGCTCTAACAAAAACAATGACATGTGTATATATGAATGAATATATGTGTCATATGTATGTATGTATATATATATATATATATATATATATATATATATATATATATATATATATATATATATATATAAACCCAGCAATAACTTCAAATGACCAGTACATTGTGTCTGTGTCAGTCTGTTCATTCTTGAACTAATGGTCACCCTGGGCATGTTTCTGGCCAGGGTTTTGATGTCAGGTGTTGTTTTTGTCACAGCCAACCTAAAGTCTTGATGGACATCAAGTCTGTTGTGGGCTTTTGTTTTTATTGACACAAAAGCGCTGAAGGCTGCCTCTGACAGGTAATTAGTGCTGAATGGAAGAATAACCGTCATCTGTGTGTGTGGCCAGTCTGGGTGCAAGGATTTGTCTTTGGCAGTCCTAAACTTTTTGTATCTATTTTCTTTAAAATATTTTTTTGATACAGAATCAGCTTGGAGGTCACAAAGCTCATCTTCAGAGCCAAGGTATTCCACATCTTTGATAGTGGAAATGTAGGGTCCATCACCCATATTTCTCTTGACAAATGCTGATCCATGTCAGCAAAGCGTCTTTTCATCTCCTGGCAGAGCATGTTCATGTGCTGGATAAACTCCTTGTGTAAAGACGCACAAATAGTGCCAGCTGCTTCATCAAAAACTGCTGCAACTTCCCTTTTGACTTTTTTTCAAGCCTGTACTCCGGTTTGCGCACAAAACTGTCCACAGCGTCCTTACACTGCAGGACGTTTGAATCAGGCTGTTGCATTCGCTTGTTGGTGTCATTATAAAGTGTCGGCAAAATACGCCGTTTGATTCAAAACACATCATTCAGATGTTCGCACAGAGTTTACAACACATTTAAACATTCACAGCTGCATGTGGTTAAATTAATGTTGTATATTTAATAAAACGTGAGCTTAACCAAGAGCAAAGAAAATTTCCTACCTCTTCTCAGAGCGGTACAGAACTGACGTCCTAACAAATCACTCAAAGTGACAGTACAGGTATTGGTGTTTAACATAATGCGTTATAGAAAATTCTTCAAACAAAACCAAAATGAGGGTTCTTCAGTGTTAATCAGGATTTGCTGAAATTTCAAACATTATAATTAAAAATAAAAGCAGAGATGTAGATGTGTAGTATGTTCTGTGTGAGAGTCCTGCTTTGGTCTGGGTGAGGGTCCAGCTGTGGACAGATTCAGGTTCAGGTCTGGTTTATGTGTCGTATGCAAAATCAACACAAGATCAACAATGCAATGAAATGCTTAGGATGAGAAGAACCGTCTTGACTCACCAAAATTACAACAAGAAATACCAAAGCATGCAGCAAACATACTAAAAACATACTAAAAAATACTACTAAAATACTAAAAACAAGGCGCCAATGTTTACAAAGAAATACATCTACAGTGTGGTTCGGTAAGCAGTGAGGTTCTTTCAGCATGTTCTGTTCTGTTAGCGGGTGGCCTGGGTGAGGGTCCTTCTCTGGAAGCTGGTTAGCAACAAGGTGGCTATTGGTGTCAGAAGCATGTTTGTAATGTGTCGCCTGTGATTTCATTGGTTGAATATTTCACCTCTTCGTAAACTTCCATTGTCGCTACACAAATCATGTCTCAGGTTTGCTTTGACCGTGGGTGTGGGTCCTTCCTCCAGTCCACACACATTTCATGCGCTGCATACAGACAGATTACAGAGACTGCCGTGCTTGGGCTGACAGTTCATTATAAAGAGGGAGATAACTAGATATTTTGCTTGGGCATTTGCTCAGTCGCCCTAACTGTGCAGCATAGATTTTCTTGTGTGCAGAGAATGTGCAGAGAATGTGCGAGCAGTGCGCAATTGCGCAGGCATGCAGCTTAGAGGGAACATTACATATCATTGGGCATTTTTAATTGGTTATATGGAAATGCCCAAGCAATTTTCATTGTTATACGCTGTATACTCGCATATCACATAGACTACAGCACTGGCAGAGACATTCCTGAGGTCACCAAACTGAACTCCCACCACCCCCTGGCTTCACCGAGAAATTCTGACCATAAAAGTTATGAACAGTATCTGTGACACTGGGCAGCCCTAGCAGAGTCTAACTCCAACCCTGAAGTGGTCCCACCCTGACACTGCCGGCAATGTGACTCAAACTCTTGCACTGCTTGTAGGCACTGAGTTAGTAGGAGAGATCATATCTCTCCAGTTTTAGATTCTCTCCACTGCCTCCCTGTCAAATTCAGAATTGAATTAAAAAAAATCTTACTTCTAACCTATAAAGCTCTCAACAACCTAATATTCAAGGATCTTTTTGTTCCATATTTTCCTAATGGGCCCTGTGATGGACTTGCGACCCGTCCAGGGTGTACCCCGCCCCTCGCACAGTGATTGCTGGACATGGGCACCAGCGACCCCCGTGACCCAAAATGGAATAAACGGGTAAAGAAAATGGATGGATTTTCCTAATGGAGCACTTCGCTCTCAAACTGCAGGTTTACTTGTGGTTCCTAGAGTTTCCAAAAGCAGAATAGGAGGAAGATCTTTCAGTTATCAGGCTCCTCTCTTGTGGAACCAACTTCCGGTTTCTGTCCGTGAGACTGACACATTGTCCAGTTTTAAGACTAGGCTTAAGACTTTCCTTTTTGATAAATACTATAATTAAGGGCCTTCTCCTAGTCCACTCCTGGAACTCCTGTTTCCAGGAATATCTTGCTAAATGATCTGAAGCTCTCAACCTTGACCACTTTAAGTGGCTTTAAACATTTGTTAAGTTCCTGGGAAAAAACAATGCAGATGTTCTTGTTTTTAGTTTTCTACATAGCTGTTCTTTTTTTGTTACATTTTCTTTTAAATGCAATTTTATTTTCACTTGTTAAAAAAAAAAATCTCAATTTGTACACATCCTTTATTATTGTCTATTGTTGTCTTTGTTGTTCCACTGTTGTCATCACTCTTTGTTCAAATCAGGTCTTTCTTGTAAATGAGTCCCCGAGGATCAATGGGATTAACCTGTATACATAAAAGTTGAATGAATGAATGAAAATTAGGGTTGGCTTATTATGCTGCTTAGACTCGTGTTTTTCAAAGTGAGGGTCGTGGCCTCCTGGGGGCCACCGGGGGGCACTAGGGAGGCCTCAGGAAGCTGGGGAGAAGATTTTTAAAAAAGCAAAACTAAAAATATATATTTTTTAATTTTACTTTTTAAATTACTGTAATAAAATCAAATCTATTTTTCAATCATTATTTTAAAATACGTATGTTTTATAATAATACACTGAAATATTTTTCACCATGCTCATCTTTCTGATTGGCTGCCAGTCAAATGTATCAAGCTGCTTTACTCTTCAAGCTAGCATAGCAAGGACGAAATGAAGAAGTTTCTAAAAAGACAGAAGGAACTGACCAGCAGCCCTGCTGTGGTGGAAACTGCTGCAAAAAACAAACAAACAAAGAACTCATGGCCATCTAACATTTGAAGGTATGAGGAAGCATACATTGAGT